ACTGCTCTGGTCTCGTCAATCTTCTCCAAGAAGGAACCCTATTCAAGCAGTCATCCACATATTCTGAACATTAAAGCTTCCAGCCCCATGGGAACCTAGACATGACCAACGTTTAAAATGCCTGCACCACTTAGCAGGCTTTCAGATGAAAAAGAACCACAACCACACTCCCGTATTCTGAAACACGATCATTTTTTAAGCACTGACACATTTGTTAGTCGAGATAGAACTTAATGTTTTTTGAGAGAACTGATTCCACCACGCCTTTCATCTCATATTCAGGGCTCCACAGATCTCTCACCTAAACAAACACTGTGCAGTACCAGTTTCCTAGTGCTCCATTAACCTCCACGACATACAACTAAAAGCACTTTTTCCTCACAGTTCTTATGTCACCAGGGCAGGCCAACTAGGGAGGCTCATCCTCCCGCTGGGACCAGCAGGCAGCCCAGGTTTGTTTGCAAATACCCCATTGACCAAAGAAAGTCATGTGGCCTAGCTCCCAGTCTAGGACTAGGGAAATACATGCTTTCTTTAGTAGAAGGGATTACATACCAGGTTAGGTAGCCAGCAGTAAAGATACAGGGAGAGATGAACTGGGAACAATTATTCAATTAACCACAATGCCTTAAGTAAAAGTCTGTCAAAGAGTGCATCCCAATGCTGTATTTATAAACAGAATTTCTAGCCCTGGAGTGGTCAGTCACTGGCAAGTTCTAGAATCCCATTATGTAGGTTCTTTATCCAGACAGAGAGCAAAACTCACCCACAGCATGTCTACCCCAGGGCCAGGGAAGCAATGCTGGCTTTTCTTGGCTGTCCTCCCTGCAAGATCACCAAAACTATCTTCAAAGAAGTAACCAATAGTTTGAGCTCACAGGGTTTTTAGGGCAGTGAAAGCATCCTGGATGATTTAATAATGATGGGTATGTAGCATTTTGTTTTTGTTAAAACCCAAGGTACTTTACAACACAAAGAGTAAACCTTAATGTATGAGAATTTTTTAACATCCCTTAAGAGGCCAGGGATCCCACATGAATGTAAAGATGGGTAGAAATCTGAGTACATGCTCACAGATGTGTCCACAGTGGCTGAAAATTCAAGTTCTGAACAAATCTTTGCCGGCAGAGTTTGAAAGAGTGTAAGGCTGTGCTATGTTCGTGGGTGCTCTACAACTTGAATCAACAGCAATCCGTTGAATTTTCTGGAACACAGAAGCACTCGGGCCAGCAGTACAGCACCTGCCTCCTTGACCTCTTTGCATGACTGTCCCTCCACCCACTGTTCCTGGCCAATTCACTGGGCTTCAGCCACTCTGCCTTCTGGAGGTTTCTGCGACACCTCAAGGTCTTTTGAAAGGCTTGCCTTGCATCTCCTCAAGCCTGGAAAGCCATTGCCTATCTCCTCCTGTGCTGACTCCTTCTCCTCTTGAACCATCAGCTTAAACACTGCCTCCTCAGTTGCAGCACTTTTGTCCCTCCATCCAGAATTTAAGCTCCATGTCTGTCTTTCACTAGTGTATCTTCTCTTCACTTAAAACACTGCTAGGCACACAGTAGATGTTTAATATCTACTATGTAAAATGAAAGAGCTCCTTAGGATTCTGATGGAATATGGACCTCTGCTTTGGAGTGAGTGCTGTAACGAGAGTCAGGAATTCCTACACTGCATACATTAAACTAAGACAGAATCCATGCAAAGTTCTGAGCTGGCTACTGCTACAGTCCTAGCATTCTAAGAAAGGCATAAAAGTAGCCCGATTCTCAAGTGCTGGTCAAAAACTGCAAGGGGAGGGGTCCAATCCTAGCTGGCAAGTGGGAAACTACTGCCCCCATTTCAAAGGAGAATGGTTAGGTATTATTGTTTTTGGTGCAAAATGGAAGCAAAAAGTCAGAAGGCCCAAAGAAGTGATCCACAAAAAAAACCTGCCAGTGGGAAGCTGAGAGGGTAACTGCAGCTCTATGCAAGTTCTGCTGGTTGATGTTATTCAGAACAGGGAGGAGAGTTCATGTGTTGGAAACATAACCCCCAAATTCATGTACTGATGGTATTGGAGGTGTAGCCTTTGGGAGGTAATGAGGGGTAACATGAAGTTACAAAGAACCCATGGTGATATTGGTGCCTTTGTAAGAAGAGAGAGCAAGCTAGCTTGGTCCCTCACTCTCTCCATGCAATGCCCTCCACCATACTATCATGCACAAGTAAAAGGCAACAGATGCCAATACCTTGTTTATTGGACTTACAATAAACAAGCCTCCAGAACTGGGAAATAATTTTTTTTCATAAATTACCTGGCCTTAAGTATGCTTTTATAGCTGCAGAAAATAGACTATGGTGGGAAACTGGAACATGTCTGAAGCTACAAATTCTCCAGACACCTGGAATGGGCACAGGCTTTATTCTCCTTGGACCCTGGAGTTATGCTGGAGCAGCTGGTTCAGAGCCATGGAAGAGTGTGTCTCTGTAAACTCAGTGTGCTGATCTCAGACTTGAAGCTTTTCTGTTGGTCTCAGAAATGCAAATGTGAGAAGATCGCTTCCAAGTAGGCCACAGCTGTGCCCCTCCACTTGCAGTTCTTGGAGGATCTCCCCAAAGCTGGTGGAAGGTGAAATGTGGGATGAACTTTTCCCAACATGTGATGCTGAGAAAGGGCTGTCATCCCCTGCTCAGAGAAGGCCAAAGGCAGATGGAACTGTGACCTGCATGTGAGTAGTGAAAGCCTTGTCTCAGCTCAGGTCTTTGCTGCTCATCCACTAAACAGAAGCCTTCCCTGGGGCTCATTTTCTTTGGTCAAAGAGACTGCAGCAGACTGACCTGAGGACAAGGGTAATACATGTGACTTATTTTCAGGCATTGCATAAGTTAAAGGAGAGGACAAGAAGCCACAGCTAGAAAAGGTAGCTCCAAAGAAGGCAGAGTCAATGGAGAAGACAGAACTTGTTCAACTCTCAAGAGCATTGGATTACAGAGAAAAAGAAGGCTTCTCAAGTTCAAGCAAAAATAAGGCATGACACCTGAATTGACAAATACAGTATACAGAATGGCCACAGCTGAGAAGCAAAAACTGATGTTCTGAGTGAGTGAAAGGAAGAAATTTCATACAGAAGCCAGAAAATGGAATCTGTAAAGAAAAGAAGATCCCAGAGCCTCTGATGCAAGGAGCAGTTGGTTCAGGAGAGAAAGTTACATAGAAAGTAACTTTCATAGAGAAGAAAATAGTAAAAACATTGTGAAATACATTTCCTGAAGCTAGAGAAAGATCTTAGATAAAACTGAATATACCACAAGAAACTACTGAAATCCTACAAAGGTGAAGAGACGATCATAATTTTCTGGAAAAAACTGATCACTTATTGTGGTGATAGAATCAGAACCAGACAGAAGACTACTGAGACAGTGACTATGGACTATTGAGAAAACGGAACTGAATCTATTAATTCATTTCACACATAAGAATATATTCAAACAAATAAGGATTCCAAATATTGCTCCCCTTGTAAGCCATCTAAGGAAATACATAGGAAATATTCTAACCAAATGAAAGTAATTAGAATACAGATTCATGAATAGAAAAATAAGGGATTTAAATAGTAACACATATGTGGACAATGACAGTGAAATATAATATGCCTAAGTCTTTCCTTTGAAGCAGAAAATGAAATCCCCAATAAAACTAAATTCCAAACTATTTCAGCATTGAAAAGAGAGAGAGAGTGTGTGTGTGTGTGTGTGTGTGTGTGTGTGTGTGTGTATACACACACACATGCAGGGAATGGAAAGAGAAATACAAAATTGAAGGCAAAAAAATTAAAGTCTCTTCTTAGTGAATGAGAATGGGAAGGTACTGGGAACAGAGAGACTTATCATTTTTATATATTGGAGAAATCCAAATTAGACCATGTGTGATAAGAGTATAATAAAAATTAGTACAATTTTAAAACTAAATAGAGGGAAAAGATTAAGAAAATGAGGCAAAGTAAAACAAAAGAACAAAGAATAGTGTATTACAATAATAATAATATAGAAAACATAAAACCAAGGATGTAAAACATCTCACTCACTATAGACTAACTAAATTCTTTTATCAAAAGACCAAGATTATCACATTAATTATAACATAAAACCCAGGCAAAAGGTATTTCTAGAAATGTGCTAAATCAGTTACAGACAAAGATTGGAAGCAGGATGGCAACGATGTACTAAGCAAATGCCAAGGAAAAACCCAAACCAACACAAATGACAACATTAATGTCTATTAAAATGCAATCTAAACCCAAAAGCATTAACTAAGTTGAAAAATTGTGATAAAAAAGATAATCAGTAAAGAAGTTCTGTATAAGACATAAGCCTTAATAGAATAAATAATATGGAAGCCGTATCTATGAAGCTAAAAATATGAGAAATTGATAAAAACATATTTATCATGAAATTTTTTAAATATTCTTTTAAAAAAATTTGACAGTTCAAGTTAGACAAAGATATAAAGAAATTTGAAAGGTATAAAAACATTTTTCTCCTCTTTATATTAACACACAGCTTTATCATATATTTGATTAACAACATTTAAAAAATTTGATAAATTTCCCAAAGTGGATTTTTTTTTTTTACTTTACTTCACTCAAAAAGGAAACTAACTACAAAAAGATTTTTCAAATCTTCTAATTATTGGGAAATAAAGAATTCCCTTCCACACAATTCCTGGTTTAAAGAGGAGTGAAAATTAAAAACCACAAGTTAAGTATTCACAAAGGAAAAGCAAAGACATTGTATCAAACCTTGTAAGAAACAGCTAAATCTACATGCAGGGGAAATTTGTAGCTTTACAAAATTTAATGGTTTAGGCAAGTAAAACAAAAGAAAATAAGCAAATTCATGACCATCACAACATATTTGGAGCAATTTGCGTCTTGTTTTTCCTTGATTAGTAGGAATACGACTGGACACACCCTTGTGCTTCCAATGGTATCCAGATTTTCTTCATCTGAACTATTTTTATTTACTTCTTCCCTCATCGGTGTCACAGTGAGAACGAATGAAACGGTCAAGAATTTGTCTGTCTGAGAAGTAGGAAGAAAAACAAAATGAAAATTTCTATGCAAGTATTTAATGCTAATAGAGAATTCTAGGAAGGAAGTAAATATCCGATAATAGTACTGTGTTTTCAAGTCAAAGAATCTCTGTGAATCACTATGCCTGATACCCAAAGAGGCTCAGTTGCATAACTTTTAAGAAGAGTGGTTCAGTATTCAACACATCAGCAGGTGTACCGGGGAGAACATGGGTTTTAGAATGAAACAGACCTGAGTTTCTGTTCTGTGCTGCCAAGTATTGACAAGCCATCCATTTAAATTCTCCACCTCATTTCCTCGTCTTCAAGTGCAGGTCACAGTACTTGCCTTGCACACGATTGCAGGAATGGATTAAAGACACTGTGTGATACACCGATATGGCTGGCTCACCAAAGACATTAAATAAACCATAGCCTTATCCTTTATTCCTGGGTGCACAGTAATATATGGTAATGATAAACAATTGAGACTTGTTCCAAACATGTCACAGCAGCCAAGGCTGTTTTTCTATCAATCACCATTGGTGGCTTTTGCGATCCTATAGCAACTATATATGGCCTACATTTCCCCACCTGTGAAGTGGAGGAGTCTTGCGTGACTCTGAACATTTCTGGTATGTCAGATATGTCAGATATGTCTGATATGTCTCTTAATGACATATTTTGTAAATAGTACAGAGCACAGCTATACAACTTTGTTGTCATTTGTGCAGTCAAAATAAAAAAGAGGAAAGAGTGCAAGTGACAGCAGGTCATCATGTTCAATGTCTGTACCATCCTGCCCAAGGTCACAATGTCTGCTGAGGTCCACACATCAAAGATATGTGTTTGTATATGTGTGTGTATCCTGTTTTCTCTACAATTATGTTGCATTTATTTGTGTTGATAATCTTGTGTTTAATTTTCTTTAACTGTTCCTAACCTACTCCATACCATTTTTTGACCCCAGTATTTCTTGCTGTTGGTGTGGTGGTGGTACTGGGTTTTGAACTCAGGGCCTTACGCTTGCTAGACAAATGCTCTACCACTTAACCATACTCCAGTCCTTTTGCTTTTAAGTTTGTTTTTGTAGGGTCTTCTGTTTTTGCCTGGGCTTGCCTAGGACAGAGATTCTCCTACCTCTGCCTCCTGAGTAGCGGAATTAAAAGTTTGTGCCACCATACTCCTATGACCCCAGTATGTTTTAATTCAGGTATACTTTTCATAAAATGAATGATCTTTCATGTAGAGTCTGTGACACTTGCACACCTATAAGCCACATACAGAGAAATACAAATCATGCCCACCAGCCCAGATCCTTCTTGCTGCTTTCCACTCAATATATTCTATCTCCAAACAGCTGCTGTTCTGATTTCTTTCATCATAGCTAAGATTTACTTTGTGAAGACTTTCAAATAATGAAATCACACAGAAGCTTTTCTTTTGTGTCTGGCATCCTTCATTCAGCATAATGCTTTCTGAGGTTCATACATTTTGTTGTATAAATCAGTAATCAATCGTGCCAATTTTTAGTAGCATGATTTTAATATATCACAGTTGATTTATCCATGTTTCTGTTGGGCTAGATCCTGTTTGGGGATGTTCAGAACAAAGTAGTTATCAACTTTCTTGTGCAAGTCCTTTGATGGACATGTTTTTGTTTTCTTTTCTCTTGAGTAAATATCCAGAAGTGGAACTTCTGAGTCATGACTTTGTATGAAGCTGACATGTGTTCCCAAAGTGTTAGTACTACTCAGAGCTGCCCAGGGTGTGGGAGCTCTGATTGCTCTATATCATCAACAGCGGTTACCAGTAGTCCTCGTCATTTCCAGTGTTGTCTTTAGTTTTAAACTTTATACTAACGGTTTCATTTTAAAGTAAACAAACTAACAAAAATGCTCTGATACAAAAGACATGCATACAAGATGAATCAAGCTGGGCATGCTTAAAAAAGGATGAGATTGTGCCAGCACAGGTAGCTCACACTTGTAATCTTACCTGCTTAGGATCATGGATCCAGGCAAGTCTGGGCAAAGAGTTTGTGAGATCATCATCTCAACCAATAGCTAGGCACAGTGGTACATGCCTGTCATCCCAAGATTCAGGAGGCTGACATTAAGAGGATCATGATTCCAGGTCATTGACACCACATCTCAATGGAAAAAAACTGGGTGTGGTGGCAGGTACCTGTCATCCAGCTACTGTGGGAATCATAAAATAGGGGGATCACGGTCCAGGCCAGTCTGGGCAAAAAGTGAGACCCTGTCTCGAAAATAACCAGAGCAAAAAAGGCTGGTGGTAGAGTGTATAGAGCGCCTGCCTTAGCAAATGTGAAGCTCTGAGTTCAAACCCCAGTATACCAAAAAATTAAAATAAAAAAAAAAGAAAACTGTGTCACATTTCATGTCAACTTAAATAAATGCTCAAAAGGCTACCAACTGTAATTTAAATGCTATCCACATTTATTGTATGTTAGTGCAGATTCATGTCCCTTTGGTTTTGTTTATGCTGTTCCTGCTGCTAAAAATGGCCTCACCCTTCCTTGTCATGCAGATTCATCTTTGTCACCTCATCTAAAGGTCATCTCCTGTGAAAAGCCTTTCAGCATTCCTGTGGATCCACAGGGCTGGGAGTACCCAACCCAAGCTTCTTCTGTAACCAAAGATTATGCTGATTACAGAGTTTAAGACGTTATAATTGTGCATGTATCTTTCACATACGAGAAAGTGTCCCTTCATTCATACATGAATTTTTTGTTTTATTTATCTTTGTATCAAGGGAGCATTATAGGAACCTTATAGAGTGAATAAATGCATTCTTAATACTGAGGAAATGCCTTCTAGATAGCCACGGTCATGGCAATTTCAATGGGAGGGAGACTAGTCATAAGTTGAAAACTTCACAGAAAACCAGATTTTAGATAATTTTATCATTCAAGTGGGTAATTGACATGGTCTTTACCAAAGGATAGCAGATGCCCAAAGAGTAAGCTTTTGGGTGTCTGAATCAGGCTTAGGGATTAAAACAATGTTGAAAATAGACTGGCCACTAAAGACACCTCTCTCGAGACTCTTGAGTTATAAGTAAACTCAATGCAGTTGAGCATGTGTCCAAAATGCTTGGGACCAGAAGTGTTTCATATTTCTGATTTTTTAAATCCTGAAAAAAATATATATGAGATATCTTGAGGTTGAGGCATGAAATTCATTTATATTTCTTTCTTTCTATTTTGCTTATTTGTTTGTTAGTGCTGGGGTTTGAACACATGGCCTCACATTTGCTAGGCAGGTGTCCCCAGCCCTTTTTGCTTTAGATATTTTTTCAAATAGGGTCTCATGTTTATGTCCTGACTGGCCTGGACCTCAACCCTCCTACTTATGCCTCCCTCATAGCTGGGATGACAGGTACATACCACCATCCAACTTTATTGGTTGAGATAGAGTCTTGCTAATTTTTTGCCTGGACTGGCTGCCACCAGTGCTCCTCCCGAACTCTACTCCTGAGTAGCTAAGATTATAGGTGTGAGCCACCGGTGCCCAGCTGAAAGTAATTTTTTATGCACGTGCACTTCTTCTTCTTCTTCTTAACTTTGACCCATCGTATGATGGGTCTCTCTTTATTAAAATATTCTTGTTCTGGGATCCTATTCCATCAAGCCTACTATCTGTGCAGGATAGGGCAGTCACATGATTTAAGCTGAGCTGGTAATAATTCAGCCTCAGACATCTGCCAGAATTGTTCTCTGCCTCTTAGCTCAGCCCCACCGTGAAAAAGCACAGCAGAGATACTCAGCTGAAAAGCATTCATGTCATCCCTGACACTAAGGAATGACAAGAGGTTTGGGGCATAGGATCTCCAAGGGAAACTCATCCTTGCTTGTCAGCCTCTGATATAGCTGGCCTCGATGAGGGAGCCATTCTAAAGCAGAGCTAGGAAGGAAATTGAGTCCCACAGGAAGCAGCTTCTTCATCTACCCAAGGCAACACAAAACAGCAAAGCTCAAGACCATATGCCTTTGGGTACCAGTGCCCCTCTGCCATCCCAAGGTGGGGCAGGAAAGCAGGAGAGCCAAGGAGCAACAAATCCCAACCTGTCCTAAAGTGATCTTGATAGCCATAGGTCACCACTTGCCTGTGTGGTAGAAAGCCTAACCAGTGGGCAGACTGTGTTGACTGGAGAGCTGAGTATGCCCTGGTATCTTGGAGAATGGGGATGCCAAGCCACAGGGCACAATGAAGTGTCCTCAGTTCACCCTTAAGGGGCACAATCGAGGCTCAAGTTGCACAGGACACACAACCAGAGACCAAGGTTCCCAGCAGCCACCACAGTTCCAGGTGGGCAGAAGTGGTGGCTGCATCCCACCCTGCTGGTCCCCAGGCAGGGGGCAGCATTTGCTTTGGGAAGAGAGAAGTACTCTTTCTAAAAGGTCCAGAAGATGTGGCTCTTTGAAGTAAAATGAGGTTTTCATAAAGTGCAGAGGGATGATTTGCTATATCTTACTGTCAAGTTTCTGGTCTGCCTTTGGGGAGGATGTGACCTAGAGTCAGAAGACTGTAGGTTTCCCTCTGAAGGGACAGAGCATCTGTTGAGAGGAATGAGTGTCCCAATAGAAAACATACAGGTCTGTCTCAATCTCAGGTCAAACATCTGCTTTTTTGTACTTCCCTGAAGCCCAGCACACTCAAACACTTTTAAGGGTAAAAATAACTCCTTTTTACATACACACACGTAAATGCATGCACACACACCCTTCCTTTTCAGTCTCTTCTACAGTGAGGCGTTAGTTTCATTTGGAGCAGGAGTCCCAGGGTAAAAAGAGGTTCCATGCCTCTAACTGACTGGAGAACCCAGCTCTCTGACTGACTGGAGGCAGGCATAGTGAAGCAACTGGGGACCTGAGAGGGACAGGTGGGGGACAGAGGGCATATGGAGAGCTTTTGGATACATGGTGGAGTTGGTGACCTCATATTGCCTTGAGCACAAAGTAGGGTACAGGAGATATTTGCCAGGTGTAGAAAAAAAATTTTGCAACTCTTTTCTTTCACTTCTTCCTTTAAATTTGTATGTTTTCTAATGGACATGATACATTAGATGTAATATAAATATGTACATCTGCATTGAGGCACATGCTCATATATGAGGTATGTGATCCCCTGCCCTGAGGATGCTCTGAGAGGCAGCTGTAGGAAGAGTTCTGTTTCCTCTCCTCAAATACCTTTGTTCCCTTAATTGATATTTTACACACTCTCAGTCAGATGGACCAGATATCCCCAAGATGTTACCAAACCCATCTCTGGCCCTCAGCCATGAAATGGCAACTCCTTGTTGTGTGAAATAAATTGACACCATCCTGAGAACTGGTGCTGCCTTTCCCTTTCCGGGAGTGAAGTGTGGAGAGTCTCGTGTACCTTAAACAGCTTGTCACAAAAAGAGCATCACCAAACAGGAAATAAAGAGTAGCCAAAATAAAACAAAACCATGAAACAGTATAAACAGCCACCAGAGAAATCCAATAGCTGTAAGAAAAAGAGAAGTCATCCTGGAACAATTCAACCACAGGACAAACAGCATCAGAAAGGCTCTATGTCTACTTTTCAACAAGTGGGAATAGTCACTGGGGCCTCTTTTAGGAAATTGTTTGTCAGTGGATTGAGGTTTGCACAACACTATGGGATTTTTATTTTGAAGAAATGTTTTTCTTTTTTGTAGGCATTCAACTCCTGTGGCTCCAAACAAAACAATTGCTATTTGGCATAAAGCAATGTACTATGATGTGTAAATGCCTGAAATGTCATCTTACCTTTGGGGGAAACAGTCTGTAGGTACTCATTGATTTGAGAGGGAGTAAAGGAGTTCAAGATCATCAAGAAGTCCAGGTAGGCTTTCCCATAGTCACTCTGGTATATGCTCTGCTTCTTTGTGCGTTCTTGATTCCTAATGTAGCTGTGCAGCACTGAAGGGACTGACAAAATAGTGAGGGACAGACACAGAGGCTGTCACCAAGCAATAAACTCCTGCCCTCTTTCTTCGAACATACCCTGAGCCCAACTTGAAGCATCCTAAATGGCAAGGCTCTATATTAAACTGACCCCTCCATTGACTAGGGGCTGTGTCGCATTGCTGGGACTTCCCAACTGTTGCCTTTGGAAGTGGGAGGGGTGGGAGGCGATGACCAGGGTTGAGTTTGATCACCATTCTCAGAAAAGAGGTCTCTCTGACCTCTACCCTTATACAGGCCAGAATGTTAAGATGGTAACGCTCATCGCCTGCTGAAGCAACAGCCTTCAGAGAGGTTTCTTTTTCTTTCAGGCCATCTCTTATGCGTTCTTGGATTGGCACACTCAGAGAGCCCCTTCCAGTGACGTAGGAGTCTTAGGACGAGCAGTTTGGAAGAATGATGACATTTATAGCCAGCACTCATGGTCCAGTCAGATTAGTGGAGGTTAGAGGTTTAAGCAACCCCATGTCATTTATATTTGATTATAGATATTGTTCATTTAATGTGGATTCTAGTATTCATGGAGCTATCATAAAGAACCATGAAGATATGGTACAAAATCCTAATTTGTACAACTTTACCAACATCTTTGTAAACCTTAAGAACACCTTAAACAGTGTCCAGTTCCAGGTGTCTGTGATGGTTCATCTTGATCGTTAACTTGAGTGGACTGAGAAGCACCTAGGGAGTTAGTAAGCACACCTCTGGGTGTCTGTGGGGCATTTCCAGAAAGGATTAGCTAAGGGAAAGACCTTCCCTGAATGTGGGCAGCACCATCTCATAGGCTGGGCCTGGATGGAATAAAAGGGGAAAAAGGAGAAAGTCCACTAGAAAAGGTAGGCATATTCTCTCCTCTCTCTCTCTCTCTCTCTTCTCGCTCTCGCTCTCGCTCTCTCTCCTTCCTAGATACCATGATGTGAGCTTCTCTGCTCTGCTATGTCAGTCCCACCAGGATGGACAGAAACCTCTGAAACCATGAGCCAAAATAAAAATCCTTTCTCCCTCTTCCTTTGTTTTCTGTCAAGTGTTTGTTACAGTGACAAAAAATAACACATGTCCCCTTTTAAAGGAGCCATTGACCAAATGGAAAGACTAGTCTGGGATAGAAGCTTTGATGGTCCATCCCAAGAAGAGCATCTATAGGGTCTGAAAATGATTTCACTCAAAAAGAGGCTTAGAATAAAATATGATTTTCACAGAGTAAGAGATCTCTACTATGCCCCCTCCATGGGAAGAAGTAGAATCAATAGCTAGAAGTTTAGCAGGGTATATTCCAGTAGCTAGCACTTCCAACTAACATCAGTTGGAATATCTGATGCTAAAGGCACTGCCTTGGACAAGGGACACTACCCTGAATTCTAGGAGCAGGAATAGTGTCCCCCCCTCAGCAGGGATGGGGTGGAGGCAATTCACAGGTGACTGGAGGCTCTAGACCTAGGAATTTCTGGGCTGCTTTCCAACTCCAGGATGCTAAGCTTCTACTCTGAGTTTTGTCTCAAGTACTATTTGATTCTACCTCCATGCTAGTAATAAATTTCACCTCAGACTGACACCAAGTTATCTTCTTAACCAGTAGTTTCAAGGTGGCTTGCTCATGGAACATTTAAAACTGTCTATGGAAAACAAGAGGCATCAGGATAAAGGAACACTCACTATAATAGAGTGATGGGAAATCGGAACATGCTTGAGGGGAATGGACCCCTGACAAATCCAAGGGGCTGCCCACCTAATGCCTGTCATTTTACAGCAACTATGTCCTTCCTTTCATTGTACATAGGGGAGGAAGTGCTCCCCCAACCCCAGCCACTGCCCCTCCCAGGCAGATTGCAGTCTTCAAGACACAAGTGGTCAGTCGGCCTTCTGAGATGCACAGGTGCCTGGTTTAAGATTAGAAGCCACAGCAACAAGGTCAACTGACTTTCATGACCGTTATCAAACTTGGTGGCCAAGGCTCACCTCATTTAATCATGGGGAAAGGAGACAGTGAAATCAGTCCTTAATGGCAATGCCCTCTTTCTTAAAATTGCTATACACATGCTGTTTTCAGGACTCAGGTAGAACCAAAGCCCAGCAGAGCTAAAGTCTCCAAGGAGGGAGTGAACTTGAAGGAGAACAGAGACATGAGGATGGGCCAGAATAACAGAGACAGGAAACTCTCCATTCACCAGCTATCCACAAGTCACACATGGCCTTGTGTACCAGTTGTGGACTATTCCAACCTGGTTCCAGGCTATCACCAATTCTCTATTCTCCTCACCCAGGGCATCACCTCCTTGGCTATCAGCCAAATGCAAAGGCAGAGCTGAGCTGCCTCTTGCCTCCTTCAGGCTGACAAACAGTAAATCTTTCTTTTTGCAAAAACCAGCACCATAGCATTGGCTTCTATATGTGTCAAACAACAGGGTCCATGAAGTTGTTTCAAAACTGAAGGTGATTCCACCACCGGTGTCTCATGCCTGTAATCCTAGTACTTGGGAGACTGAGATCGGGAGAATTGTGGTTGAGACCAGCCTGGTCAAATAGTTCACAAGACCCCATCTCCAAAATAACCAAAGGAAAATGGACTGGAGGAGTGGCTCAAGTGGTAGAGCGCCTGCTTTGCAAGTATGAAACCCTGAATTCAAACCCCAATCCCACCAAAAAACAAACAAATATTAAAAGGGTGTACTTACCTAGACCCTGAGAAGCCACTGACAGGCCCGAATAGCAGCCATACCTGAGACTAAAGTCCTGCAACTCAGGAATTTTAGCTGGGATTTGGTAATTCTGTCGAAATTCTGTGTCTAGACGTTGGGGAAGGAAATTTTTCCATTCCAGAAACACCGGAGAACTTTTCTTGACCTTCTGAACTGGTTTGGGGTGGGAAGGGAAGGTGGCAGTTACTACTGGTAAGCTATTTCTATCTTTTTATTGCACTCTGCTTCTGGTAGTACCTTCTAGCTTATCACACTATAACCTCACCCTTATTGTATTTAGGGTATATGTTCAGATAATTATAGGTGGTTTCTAATGAAGACATTTTATGTTCATTAGGAATGTCCTTTTGTTCTGCTGGGTGGACACAGAAGACACTGATGACTCCAGTAGGCTTGTCTGGACCCTGGGCAAGGGTGGTGAGATTTTCGATATGACTAGAGTTGCCTTATAAAATACAGGATGGCTATTTAAATTTGAAATTCAGATAAATAATAAATACACTTTCAGTGTTAGTATGTGTAGGTAGTCATAATCTTACTATATATCATTATTTAAATTAAATGGGGTCATATATATATTATCTCCACTATCTGGACAAGAAGTGTTCAAAGATTATCCCTCACTGATTGAAGATGCATAACATCATTGTCATTCTTGGCTAGAATGTGATTATTTGAACTATCTCTGTTACAAGTAATAAATATCATTAATTGTCTATGAAGCACTGATTAGACACCAGTTTCACAAACACTACCAGGTTACAGCGGAGGGAGTCACAAGCCATCTCATTTAAAATATGTTCACCCCTAATTCTTGCCACAACACTTGAGTTCAGAAGTGTATCACACAGCATCATCTTTGTTCAGAAAGATGAAGAGATTAAAAACATGGGTTTCACGAACAGTGCAAATTACTATTGACCTGGAACTCAATTCTCTTCCAAATTAGTTTTTTAATAGGTCTTTTGAAAATAAATTCTAATAGACATAGTATATTGTAGGATTTCTAATGGGATCCATGGCACACATTATCTACCAAAGGCTGTCTAATTGCATCCACCAGAACCTGAGGCCATCTTAATATTGATTTTTTTTTAAAAATGATCTGTCTAAACCATCAGTGGAGAGAGTTCCACCACAAGCTGCCTTTTACTTTGAGTGACCTGGGAGATGAAGAAGGTGCTTAATGCCCTCAGGGTGACCTCAGAAACTTCCCTTGGAGGTATTGTGGAAACTATCTGCTTTTGTTCCTAGTAACTCCCATGGTTAACTTGGATTTTGTTGCTTACTAATAGCTTTACAGGATAGAAACAAATTTCTTATGAAATGCATGACTTATGTGTCTATCTCCACTAGAACAACTACTCAACAGCAAATGTTTTCATTCCCTAAATGCATTCTGTGCTGTTTGCCAAGGTTATTACTAATCAATTCAATGATCTGCCTTAATCCAACCCCCAAACTTCTGTGACTTGAAAGCTGTCTATAGGACAAACAGATGTGGAATGTGATGAGTCTTGCAACCTGAAAATGGGTTCTCACATGGGATTAAGATGTCAGCATCACTGGGGAAGGATTTCTAAAAATATGCTTGCTGTATCTTATCCCAGACATTGAGGTTTTGTAAAAATGGAGCCCCAGCTGCCACAGTACACTGTAAACAAACTTCTCATGTGCTTAAGAATCACAGCCTCAGAGCTCTGAGTGAAGTGCTATGGAAGCCCAGAGAGAGAGAGAGGGAGGGCTGTGTTAGAGGAAGCAGAAAAAGACATAGACCAAAAGATAGACACTGTGAAGGGATTTGACGACAGATCAGCAAGGAAGCAAAACATGCTCAACCTGTCTATAAAATATGGCTGGTAGAATGGAGGGCACACAGGAACAGGAAGAATAGTTGTGGGTGAAGCAGGAAGATGAGTTGGGACGAGGCTGGGAAGGCCCTTGAATGTCTTTCCATGTGGACCATGGTGGCCCAGCATAGAAGTGGGATCCTTGGAGATGAAGACCCAGCAAAGGAAAAAGTCAGGACCTAGACATAGTTTATGTTCCCTTGAAGACAGAGATAAAGTCTTATTCTTCAACAGTCACCTGTACTTATCACATTAATAGTCCTCATTAAATATTTTCTGAATTTATGAGTGAACAAAGCCCCTAGAAACATAATTACTATGGATTAGCAATTAATAGCTGAGTCACACTCTGGTGACAGATGCTTAAGTTAAGTCCTCATAATCTGAACAGTGCTAATCTGTAGTGCAGACTCGGTTTTCTCAATGAGCAATTTTATACTTATAAAATTTCATGTTACTGAACTCCTTCAGGCATTTGTAAAAAGAGTTTCCTGATACAAAAGGACTCAACCAACACTCAAAACACCTACCCTGGTGCTAAAAGTATAGCAGATAATATAACCATGATGCAGAGCTAAGGTGACCCAAGGCCTGAACCCCTCCCAGGGGTCATCTCCACTCCTCAGGTGCTCAGCTCCCCATGTTCTTTTCCATTCATACCTGTAATACCATACCAGTAAGTCAATCCCCAAAAGAAACTAGACAATTTAGGATTAGCTAGGGCTGTGCAGAAAGGCTCAGTCTGAAAATAAATAAATAGCAAAGACCGTTCAGAACCACAGAACCATTTGGCACATACTCTATAGCCAAGTGGCATCTGGGTCAGCTGTCTTCCCCAGCTGTTCTAATTCATCAAAGCCAGCCTCTCCGAGCCTGAATGTGAAAACAAGCACCTTTTAGTGTTTGTCATTCACTCATTTTAATTTAATAATGAGGAGACAAAACTAAGATGTGGTCCCTGTGCTACAGAAGCTTAAAGTATTAGAGGAATGAACACACAGAGAGAAGAAAACTACAATATTGTGTGATGGGTCCTGCAAAAGAGGTTAGAATGGGGCTACAAAAACATATGGGAGAGCCACTGATCCAAAGCTGGGGATCAGAGAAAGTTTCTATGATGGAAATGAAGCCTACATCTAGACTTAAATAGTGTAGACATAAAAGGAGGAAGGAAGAGGCGTTGCCCAAGGAGGAAGCCCTGTGTGCAGGGGGCATGACAAGTCTGCAGGACAGACAGCAGTGCAGTCTCCCTGTGAGGATGGGGACTGGTGGGGTTGGGGGAGAAAGGTGTAGAGGGGACAGAGGCCAGATGATCCTTATTGTCTGGTTTAAGGCATTTAGCGTTCATCCTGAGGACAGCAGGAGTCCCAAAAGGGTTTTAAGCCAGAAGGTGACATCAATTTCATCCAGAAACTTACCTTGACTGTTGTATGGACAGTGGACTACAGGAGACAAACTAGAAAAGGGAGTTGGATTAGAGGTCATCCAAGGACACACACTGGTAGCCTGAACTAAAGGCAGGGCTGTCGGGAAGGAGAGAGGCAGATGGAGGTAAGAGATTTAGGAGGGACTCTTGACAGGTCCTAGGTATTTACTTGCACGTGGGAAAATGGTGATTTGCTTACGCTGAATGGAAACTGAGACATCTTTTAAGAATGCTGATATTTCATATGTCTCCCATGAGCCTTATATTTATCTGCAGGTGTTGAGGGGTTTTGATCTCATATCCATGTAGCTTCAAAAAGAGTATTCCCCATATATTCTTTCTATCATTTGGCAAATATTTCCCAAGCTCCTTCTATCCACCAGGCTCTTCCCTAGCTCTGAGTGAACAAAGCCTTTGGGGTGCTTACTGAATAGTAGAGGAAAGAATGAAACAAAATGACACAAGACAAGAATCAGTAACAATGACTTCAAAGTTCAAAACACTAAATGAAGTGGGATTGTGGCACATCTCTTCAGATGAAATAGCAAGAAAAGATTTCACAGGAGAGGTGACGTTGAAGCTGGGGGTCTAGATGACAAAGCAAAGCCACAGGAAGAGCAGGGGAGAGCACTTCAGGCCAAAGGTAGGGAAGAAGTTGACATCTTACAGATGCTAAAATAAGGCCCAAGTGGCTGGACCCCCGTACACGAGGGGAATGGAGCAAGGGAATCATGGTGATAAGATAAACAAGGGCCAACCCCTCAGGACCCTAAGAACCTGCAGAGGGAACTGGGATTTGAATTTTATTCAAAGAGCAATGGAAAGTCAGTGAGAGGAAGCAAAAGAATAAAGTGACTCAATTTAGATGTTTATAAGATCATCTAGCAACAACATAGTGAAGGAGCTGGAGGGGCCTATAGATAATGTAGGATGTGACCAGGCAGAGGAGAAGGAAATGCGTTGGACTCTTCATGAGACTTCTACTGGGTACCCAAACACAGGAAACTGAGGTTGAGAAGAGGTTTGGGGAAGAGATACAATGTAAAATTCTAAGATAGTTGCTCTTTAAAGGAGTCAGAAACTCTAACAGAGATTAAATGGGACAATCACCAGAAAGGAACCAAAGAAGCTGGGAGACACCAGGAAAGTGTGACAACACAGAAGCGCAAAGAGAAGAGCACTCCAAGATAGACCTGGCTGTTCACCCAGCAACCCTGAGTGCCCTCAGAGACTGGGAAAGATGCAGATGGAAAGATCTCCCTGGAAGATCACTGGGGACCTCAGCAAGAACAGGTTCAATGACTCAATGGGTGCTGAACCCAGATTGAAGGGGGTTGAAAAGTCAATGGTTCAGCAGTTCTTCTCATTGAGCCACATCCCAAACTCCATTAGACTACCGTTGGTTAGAGACGTCAACACATTTCTGGAAGATGCAACCCAAGCAAGATACATCAACTGAAAGAGAAAACTAGAGGAGGCTGAAACTTAGGTGACTACAGAAGGGAACAGCAAAGAAGTAGAATGATCCATGTAACAGAACCCCAGTGGGCCCAAACTCAGAGGTGACAGGAACAGGTACAGTAGAAGGCAGGATGTGAAGCCTGGGGCTGGAAACAGAGGTTTGGCTGAAAGCTTGGATACAAAATGGTCTCCTGTATCACCTTCTCACCCTATGCAGTCATACAAATATCCTGTCTTGCTGTGGTTTGAATGTCTGCTCCAAACTTTTGTTTTTCACAATTGAGATTTTATTGTGTTGAAGATCAGCACACAGACATTTCACTTCGTAGACAATTTTTCACACACATACCGAAAATCTAAAGCCATGTATTGTATCCTTTTTAAGTTATTCCATCTTCAAACTTGGAGGCAAATTT